TGAAATGGACAGCTTTATTCCCTGTCTAGAGGAAACTGAAGCTCAAAGATGATGCATGGTCTGCCCAAGGTCACAAAGTATTAAGCTGTGAATCTAGGTTGAACCCAAGTAGAAAGCCTGTGCTTTTAAAAGTCAGCTCTTTTCCCTCTGCCCTTTCCTCCTCCTGGGGGACCTCTTTGGACGTCTTTAGAAGTGTTGAGCCCAGAGTCCTCTGACTGAAGGAACAAGACAGTGAGCCCCTGTGCAGGGAGGTGCAGGGTTGTGGGAGGTGAAGGTAGATCAGGGTGGAAGAACCAACAGTAGCCCAGGAGCCTCACCGCCTGCACTTGGAGCTGCAGGTCATTCTTCTCCTGCAGCAGGGACACCATCTTTTCTTCCAGCTCCTTGCGGCGAGCCTCGGACTTCTCCAGCGCCTCTTTGAGGCGTGCGAACTCCTCCTTCATGGTGGCCATCTCCTTCTCCGTCTCTGCACTCTTCAGCAGCGGCTTGATCTTGAAGTAGAGCTTCATCCAGGGCCAATTCTTGACCCCCATGAAGGCTCGAATGTTCCACTGGATTATCAGCAGGGAGTCTCTGCAGGGGCCCATGAAAGGAGTGCTGAGCCTCCTGCCTCCTTCCTACCTGAGGTCCTGAAACCTTGGGAATGTCCCATTTTCTTCATCCCTCCCATTCTCCCTGAGGCCCTCTGACCCTGTGACTGCAATGTGTTCATGTGAGCGCCTCCTGCAGGTCTCTCTGTTTGAAGACCTGTTGAGCTCTTTTTCCTGACACTGCCCCTGAACCAGCCTGGGCCTCAGAGAAGCAGAAACTTCCTCTTGAGATCTCTCACCTACGTTCCAGCAGCTTCTTGTACTCCATTCTGGAAAGCACACCCCGGGACTGGGCCTGGATACGCGTGATGATGCGGCTCAGCCTCTCGTCCCTCATCTCCTCCAGCAGCCCCAGCAGCCCGGCCTTGAAGAACACCTGCAGGCAAGGTATGTGTTGGGCATGACTAGGGAGTGGTACGAGGGAAAGAGGTAGTGGGGAGTACCTTAGGAAGGGTAGCAGCCTAGAAAAGGATTGCAGGGAGGAGGTCAATGGCAGCTGGAGCTGGAGTGAGGGGAGTGGTGCTAGATGTTCTGCTGAGAGGGGTAGCATACAGGTAAGAGATTTCGCTAAGACGATTATAAAAGGAAAAGCATCATGAGGAGAGGAGTCAATGCACAAGAGATATTTTCCTTTAATTAACTAGTCTCCTTTCCTTACCTTGGTGTGGCCAAACTTGTACTGGTTGTGGTCAATGTCCAGGGAGCCGAGCAGCTTCTCTGCCCCCTTCCTGCTGTCAATGAACTGTCCCTCAGGGATGGCCGCTGGGTTCAGGATGCGATACCTGAGGAGGGAAGTGCCCAGAGTCACCCATGCTCTGCAGTGATCTGCTCTGCCCACAGAATTCCAGGGCCACCTGCAGACTCTCATTCCCACCAGGGCAGCCTGGCTCCCCCATTCTACGAGTTCTGGGGCGCCCTCATACCCACCTCTGCCGGAAGTCCCCGTAGAGGATGCGGTTGGGGAAGCCCTTCCTACAGATGCGAATGCCCTCCAGCACACCATTGCAGCGCAGCTGGTGCATGACCAGGGGGTTGTCCATCACCCCTGTGGTAGGAGGGAAGTGGGAGGAGTCTGTGAGAACACTGAACTGAAGTTCTGGGTTCCTATCCTGGCTCTGTCACTGATAAGCTTGTAATCTTAGCAAGTCAGGTAGTAATAATCCTTTATTTGTTTCATTTTCTTCTAGCCACATTTTTAACCACAAGGCTTTCACATTCCTTTTTTATATGATTCATACCTGTTATCATAGGTGGTAGCCAGAACAGATATATCCCATTTCCTAGACTAGTAAATTAAGCCCAGAGGGGTTATGGGACTGGCCCAAGGCCACTAAGCTGATCAAGAACAGAGCCAGCTCTTGAACTCAGGTCCCTGAGCCTCTGTCTCCTAATCAGCCAAAAATGGATTAACAATTTGAATATGTCTCATTAGGGGATTAAGTAGTTCTGCAGGTAAATTTAAAGCTGAACTAAGATTCTGTGTTGGAACCAGCTATCCAAGGGGTTGTAGGGTCACTGATGAGATAATGTCCATCAGAGTGCTTTACACATCACCCACATTATACACTCCAAGTGTAAGGCAGCACTGAGAGGGAGGTAGCCTGTGAGGCCTCATGGGGGATGGGGAGAGAAGAACGTGGTTTGGAAACCGCTGTGGTGGTAGGTAGGGAAATGCCCTAGGAGGTCTTGTTCCCAGGGTGCTGTATGCCAAGCAGTGGGCTGGCCTGAGTTTGTGGCCTCACCTGGAGACTTTGTCTCATTGGGGATGATACAACGTACAAAGTGGGGATGGGTGGAGCGCAAGTTGGTCATCAGCTTGTTCAGATTTTCCTGTGACCAAAAATGCAAGACAGAAAAGTAAAGAAAATGCAAGAAAGAAATGCAGAAAGGAGAGAGGAGAAGAAGGAAGGAAAAGAGAGATGGAGAGAATTCAAGGAGCCACAGAGATGAAGGGCCCTTGAGGGAAGACACAGATAAGGAGAGAGGTGGGAGACAGGAAGGAAAGAGGAGAGAAGTGAGATGGGAAGTAAATAAGTGAAAAGGCCAGGAGATGACGGGAAGAGAAGATGGAGTGAAAATGGTCACGAATGCACCAAGGAGACAGGGAGCGGGAGGAGCGGGAACAAGGCAGGGAAGGGCCGGGCTAGGTGGAGTTGGCAGATGGGGAGCTGAGCTGGCTGGGGCTGGGTCCCACTCACCCTGTGCAGAGCTGACACAGTCTGAAAGGACGAACCTTTCTTGGCCTTGCCTTTGCCCTTCTCAATAGCTGCAGGAAAGAGAGTCAACAAAAGAAGCCTCAGTGTGGGGAGGTGAGGGCGTGAGTAAAGAATTACAGCCCCTCTTTACATCCTTGCTGGCATTTGGCCCTTGGGTGAGGGCCTTCAATGTGGCTGCCTCAGTTTCTTCACCAAGTTCCACCCCACTGAGTCCGTAAACCTTGGAGTACAACCTGACATTGAAGTAGTGGGGTGTAGCAAGTGACCTAGCTCAGAACCTTGGCAGAATCCCTGCTCCTCTGTCCTGGGAGCCTCAGTTCCTACTTACGCGCATCAGCTCCAGCATAGTTGGCAAACAGGGTGCTGAGCAGCTTGAGGGAGGACTTCTGATACAAGGCCACTACAGTCTCATTGAGAGGGTCTTTGTTCTTCTGCAGCCAGCCAATGATGTTGTAGTCCACGGTGCCGGCATAGTGGATCAGGGAAAAGTGGGCTTCAGGCTTCCCCTTGATATTGCGTGGCTTCTGGAAGTTGGAGGATTTGCCCAGGTGGTTGTCAAACAGCTTGGCCTTGAAGGTCATGTCGGTGGCCTTGGGGAACATGCACTCCTCCTCCAGGATGGACATGATGCCCATGGGCTGAGGAAGCAGGGGAGAGCATCACTGAGTGTCCTTCACACAGGTGGACATGGATTCTGCTCTATGATCAATACTTGCTCATGGAGGTGCCCCGCTGGGTGTTAAGGTAATAGGCTCAGCTCTGAGTACAGTTATCTACTGACTGGCACTGGTTCAAGGTGGAGGATTTTGTCTGATGACAGAAGGACCTTTGTGAAAGTCTGGGAGTGTGGCTGCTATCAAAACTGTACATATCACCCCACCACCCAGATTCCTGAGATGCTAGGGTTGAAAATAGGTGCACTCTTATGATCTCCCACACCATCCTCACACTTCCTGATCCTTGGATGCATAAACCAGGCCCAATAAACATGCAGGTGTGGGAGGTCATCATGCAGGTGCCCATCCTCCATGTGTCCACTCTCAAGCCCCTGGGAACTCAGCTGTCCCTGGTGCCACCCTGTCCTCGGTGCTCAGCACAACATAGGCTCTGGAACCAAGGGCTCAGGATCCTTCAGCCCCTTATATTGTCAAGATTATATTCCCCAGAAGGGAGAGGGGCTGCTATTTTGTCTATGGTGTTCTTGTTGGGTGTGCAGGGAGAATTCAGGCGGTGAGACAAAAGAGGCACCTTCTCGATGAGGTCGATGCAGGCCTGCAGGTCCATGCCAAAGTCAATGAATGTCCACTCGATGCCCTCCTTCTTGTACTCCTCCTGCTCCAGCACGAACATGTGGTGGTTGAAGAACTGCTGCAGCTTCTCATTGGTGAAGTTGATGCAGAGCTGCTCAAAGCTGTTGAACTGCAGGGGGCATGAGGGGTGGGAGCAGTCAGGAAGTGGGTGTGAGTGGCCATTGGGGCTGTGCCCGTGCACTGTGCCCGAGCCCAGCAAGGCGTGGCTGGTCCCCTCCATGTCAGGGCAGTGGAAGAAGGCTTCCCCTGAAGACAGGGACAATGACTGCCTCTGTCACCGCACAGTCCCCACTGCCTTCCTGTGTCTGGTCCACAACTGACTCTCAGCAAATGGCTGTTGAATGTGGGAGTGAGCGAGTGATTGTTCTCCCCCTCCCAGGGGTCCCAACTCACATCAAAGATCTCGAAGCCAGCGATGTCCAGGACTCCTATGAAGTACTGGCGTGGCTGCTTGGTCTCCAGGGTGGCGTTGATGCGTGTCACCATCCAGTTGAACATCTTCTCGTACACTGCCTTGGCCAGTGCCCCAGTGGCATATGCCACCTGCAAGGTAGAGGAGAGACCCATATTGAGCAGGGTTATTGGGAAGAGTGAACTTGAAAACTCCCACCCCATCATGCCAGTCTCCCTACCCTGCCCACCCATTATCATCTGAAGATGGACCCACCTGCTGGACATTCTGCCCCTTGGTGACGTACTCATTGCCCACTTTCACCCGAGGATGGCACAACCCCTTAAGCAGATCGGCTGAGTTCAGCCCCATGAGGTAGGCAGACTTGTCAGCCTCTGGAAGGAAAAGACAAATAGCAAAGTTGGTAAAGAGATGACTGCTGGCCGGGCATGGTGGCTCACGCCTGTAAACCCAGCACTTTGGGAGGCCAAGGCGGGCAGATCACTTGAGGTCAGGAGTTTGAGACCAGCCTGGCCAACATGGTGATACCCCATCTATCCTAAAAATACAAAAATTAGCTGGGCATGGTGGTGCATGCCTGTAATTCCAACTACTCGGGAGGCTGAGGCAGGAGAATCACTTGAACCCAGGATGTGGAGATTGCAGTGAGCCAAGATTGTGCCACTACACTCCAGCCTGGGCAACAGAGCAAGATTCCATCTCAAAAAAAAATAAAAAATAAAAAATAAAAAAAGACAGATGACTGCTGAGCAGACGTGGCCCTCGGTGACTTGACAGCTGCCCCCTAGAATCCCTGCCTCCCACCTTCAGTGCCGTCCGGCTCCGCCTGCTCCTCCCGCTGCTTCTGCTTGAACTTCATGTTTCCAAAGTGCATGATGGCACCTGTCAGCTTGTACATGGAGTTTTTCTCCTCTGTAGTGAAGCCCAGCACGTCAAAGGCGTTCTGTAGGGAGGCCCCGTATTGGTGGACCCCCCAAAAAGAAGTATGATGGGTAAGTGAGATCCCTTGTAAGTTGTAGAGAAAACTTGTCTCCTTAATCCCTGTGGGTTCTGAGACTCCCATACCCAGTGGGGAACTCCAAAACAAAGGATGGAAGATGCAAGAGCAGAGCAGACGTCAGACGGTCCCAGCCCCAATGTCAGTGGCCACAGCTTTTCTGAGTTACCCACTTATGCTTCCTGGCCCTACACTTGCTTCCTGCCTGGCCTTCCGTACCTGTCTGCATCTGTTCACCTAACAGGCCCTCTGGCCCCATGCCATCTGCATGGCTTTCCCTCCTCATCCTGCTCCCTTGGTGATGCTTATTTCTTGGCTGTGCGCCTCTCTGTCTCATGACTTTCAGCCCTTCCTGGTTTGATAGAACACCAAATACTGGCCAGTCCTGTCTCACCTCATCCGTTCCCCAGTACACCCTGACCACAGGGCACATTCTGGCTCTCAGGAGATCCATACCACTTTAAACAACCAATGGCCAGCATCTTAGCTCTGCTTCTGGACCCCTGTTTGCCCCTCACTGCCAATCCTCCCACCCCCTGGCTGGGTCCTCACACACTCACATCAGTGGCCATGAGCTCCTCAGCGTCGTCAATGGAGGCCACAGTGGTCTCTCCTTGGGAGATGAATGCATAATCGTAGGGGTTGTTGGTAATCAGCAGCATGTCTAGGGGAAAAAACATGGTTAGGGAGGGACACAAGCCCCCGGCTCTCATGGAGGCTGCTCACCACAGCACATGGCCTGAGGAGGAGCACAGGACAGGGCTTGGCTTGGCCCCACATCCCACTGAACTGAATCCAGCAATGCCATGAAACCCAGGGCATGCCAGCTGAATCCAGCCACAAGGAGAGGGGACCAGGTTGCCATGGAGATAGTTGGTCTCAGTCAGTGGCTGTGACTCACCCAGCAGCTCAGGCTTTTTGTTAGACAGGATTTGGTAGAAAATGTGATAATCTCTCTCCGCTTTCAGCTGGAAAATAACTCTGGATTTTTCCAGAAGATCTGTGAACAGGCGGGGAGAAGGAGAGAAAGAAAAGTTAGGGTTTGGGCACAAGGAAAATTAATGATAAACGTAGCAAGCAAAAGGCAGAGGGAAGGGAAGAGCCAGAGAGACTAGTTGGACAGACACAAAGAGATCACACAGAGAGATAGAGACAGAGACCCAGAAGGAGAGAAATAGTCTCAGAGAGAAGTCCCAGAGAAAGACACCTAGCCATGCAGAGACAGAAATGGAGAAAGATGCAGAGGAAATCTCAGAGCAAGACAGGTATGTAGATCTGAAAACAGAGACACCTATAGACATAGACTTAAAGAGGAGAAAAACAGAGGGAGGGAGGAGAGAGAGAGAGAGAGAGAGAGGTTAAGACCAGATGGTCTAGAGCAAGGGTGAGCTTAGGCTGAGCCTAGCAGATTCACGGCACTCACAGGTCTCTATGTCTGCAGATGCCAACTTTCCTGTTGCCCCAAAATGGATTCGAATGAATTTCCCCTGGAGAGATGGAAGAGAGTGGTGATGAGTCTGGGAAAGGCTCATATTTGAGACCATCCCTCCACCAGTCCAAGTCCCAAGTCCAAGGTCAGGGACCACTCACGAAGCGGGAGGAGTTGTCATTCCGGACGGTCTTGGCATTGCCAAAGGCCTCCAGAGCAGGGTTGGCCTCGATGATCTGGTCCTCCAGGGTGCCCTGCAGAAGTCAAGAAGGAGGCAGGTGAGAGCTCTTCCCCCTCCCTTTCTGCAGTGCAGGACCTTGGAAGGCAGTAGGCCTACCTTGCCCGTGTTCTGGTCCTTCTTGCTGCGGTCCCCAATGGCTGCAATAACAGCAAAATACTGGATGACCCTCTTGGTGTTGACCGTCTTCCCTGCTCCGGATTCTCCGCTGTGAAGACAGTCAGGGCCTTATTGGGCAGTGAACAACACTGCTGGAGACCAACAAGCCTCAAAGCAGGAGAGAATGCCTGGGTCTACCCGAGAGTAGGAGCCCTGGACAAGAAGTTGCCAGGTTATCTGCACCCAAAATCCACAACTGTCTTCTGATGCACAGAGGTCAGGGCTGGCACCAGGAAGGATGCCACCAGAAGGCACTGGTTTGGGCAGGCTGAGCCTGTGCTTGGCTGGGCAAAGTAAATGGAAGAGATGGGCCTGGGCTGTTTTGGGAAAAGTGGGTGGGGCTGGAGGAATGGGAAATGTTTTTGAAGGGAAAGAAAAGGAAGAGATGAAGACATGGCGATAATGAGCTTCTGGATAAATGAGTGATGAGTTGGAGGGGAGTGGGTGAAGGAGGTGGGAGAGGAAAAACATGAAGGGGATGGAAAGCAGAAAGGAATAGGGAGATCAAAGAGAGGGGTCAGGGTAAGGGTCAGAAGAGAAGGAGATGGGCAGGAGGTGGTGGGGAAAGAGGCTGAGTCTATGCCTAGGGGCCTGGGATCCCTGATGGGGCTGGAGGCGGGGATCAGGGAGATTCTGGAAGGGAACAGGGTAGCAGCTACACTCACGTGATCAGGATGGACTGGTTTTCTCTGTCTGTGGGGAGAGGGTGGGGAGGAAAGGTCAGCAGCTGCACAGAATGCTCTTGTGGGGCTTCTCCCCTCCTTCACCTTCTCCCTCTCCCTTCTGGCATCTCCCAGTTCCCTTCAGGAAGACCCTTCTGGGGCCTCTCACCTGTCAGCATGTACTGATAGGCATTGTCGGAGATGGAGAAGATGTGGGGCGGGGCCTCGCTCCTCTTCTTGCCCCGGTAGGCAGCTACCACCTCGGCATTGTACACCGGCAGCCACTTGTAGGGGTTGACGGTGACACAGAAGAGGCCCGAGTAGGTCTGGGGATAGAAAAGTAGCAGTGACTTGCCAGTTGCAAAGGGGGAGGGCTGGTGATTTTGGGAGTTAGAGAAAGATCCCAGGAGAGAAAGAAGAGAAAGGAAAAACTCTGCATGCACTCAATCTGAGTAATGCCAGTCCCCAGAGTGTTGGAATTGAACCAAGGATGTTGGGATGAGATTAGAGTGTAACCCTGCCTGGACACAAACAGAAGACACTCTTGGCTCCTGGGGTGGACATGGATGGAGCAGCAACAAAGATTCTGAGGTGGGGCCAGGTGCAGCACTCACATAGATCATCCAGGAGCCGTAACGATCCTTGAGGTTGTAGAGCACCGCGGGCTCGTGCAGGAAGGTCAGCATGGCCATGTCCTCGATTTTGTCGAACTTGGGTGGGTTCTGCTGCATCACCTGATCCTCCTTCACAGTCACTGTCTGCAAGAGCCCCCATCCAGGCCCTCCTGTCAGCCTGGGCTTTCCCTTCTCCCTCAAGAGGGTTAGGAGTTGGTGAGTGACAGGGCAATAGTGCTTAAGAGAGAAGGAACCAGGATCTCACGGAGAAGACAGAGGGATTTGGAAGGTCAGGGCTCCTTGGAGGGTCTGGATTCTTCCCCAAAGGGAAGGAGAATGGGGCCATCCTCAGGTCTACGTGAGGGTGGGGCATGGGTGTACCCCTCTGTGTCCACCCAGGTGTGCAGGTGGCCAGGGTGGACTCTCACATTAGTCTGACACCCACCTTGCCCCTCTCGGTCTCAGCAGTGACTTTGCCACCCTCTCGAGACACAATCTTGGCCTTGACGAACTCCTCTTTGTCATCAGGCACGAAGACATCCTTCTTGAGGTCAAAAGGCCTGGTCTGGGCTTCTAGCCGCTCCTTCTCTGACTTGCGCAGGTAGGGGGCGGCAGCCCCAAAGGCGGCCATCTCCGAATCTCCCATGGCTGTGCCTGGAGTGAGCAGAAGCTGGCTGCCTTTCCATCTGCCCACTCTCCCCTTCCCTCCCTGGGCTCTCCCCTTCAGTGGGAGCCCCAAAACCTAGCACCATGCTCAAGAATCAAGAAGAGATACCAGTGAGTCCCTTCCTCTTTGAGGTTACCCTTTAACCAGAAGAGCAGCCTAGCAAACCTGCCAGAGTAAAGGGAGCAACTAACTATTGCTCAAGCTGGAGCTCTCCTAGGGGAAGGAAGAGTACCCTGAGCTCCTTGTAGGAGCAGAAATCTAACTATTTCCATCTCTGACCCTCATCTGTCCCTGGACCCCTTGGCCACAGGTAAGGAGCTCCTGATAGCCAAGATATTTCTCCAGTGCAGGGCAGAAACTAGAGTTCCATAGTCTGACTTTGGGGCTCTAATGCCCAGTCTCACTAGATTCTCAGTGCTCTAGCTTCAGCTTTTCTTACCTGGGCTACTCAAGTGTGTCTACAGATGAGGAAGGGGGCCGAGGCCTGCAGGGGACCTGGAGAGAGGGAAGAGGCTGTGTCAGGGCAGACTGTGCCCAACCTGGCCAGTCCCACCTTCGTGCTTCTCCCTGGCTCTATCCTTCAGCATCCACCCTCTTCCAAAACAAGTTGGAAAGGGCGGTCAACTTCTCTGGTCCCATCCTTCTTGTTTTTCAAACCCTTTTCCCTTTTTCCTCAAGAACTAGTTCTAACAGCTGCCTGGTGTCAACTCACCCTGAACCCTAATCCTCTTCACTCCTCCGAGACTGTCCCACCCCTGCCTGTACCCATCTAGTGGTACCTTTCTTTGAGCCATCTGAGAGACAACTAATGGTCACATTTGTTGAGCACTTTCCAGTTTAAAAGCACTTCAATGCACATTCTCCTACTCAGTCTTCACCCCATTTGACAGATGAGGAAGTCGAGGTTAAGTGGCTTGCCTGTCCAAGAGCCCATGACAATAAGTGGGAGAGCCAAGACTTGAATACAAGTCTGTTGACTCTAAAGAGAGTTCTTTTCCATCCTGTCCCCATTTTGCTGTCAGACTGTGGACATTCTCAGAGAGAAGACACTGTGGGCTTCCTCTCATAGACACACCTCCATCACGTAGCTGAACACCCTCCACAAGCCCTCTGATGAACACTCATGCCTGCTGCTTGGGCGTGCATCTCACACGAAGACAGGCTTCTTTCCCATACCTCAGTCCGCACCCCACCCCCAGGGTGCCACATATGCCTCAACAGCAAATGTGTACATTTCAGGATGTGTGCTGCGTAAGTAGACTCACATCACTGCGTGTTCTTCAGTACACAAAGACCTGGAACATCCTACACCCCCGTGCCTGTGAGCTCCTTCTGCAGAGGGTACACACTATAACAATCATGACTCCTGGAGGCATAGACAATCATCTCTGCATGCATGGACAGGGGTAGCTACACATTCCAGGCCTCACAGAATCACATGAAGGCATACACACTTCCTAGAATCCTTCTCCACCATCCTTTCTCCCTCCCTGCAAAGGAATCTCCTCATTCACAGGCATGATCATATACCCGCATCTCCCACTTGATATTTCTGTGTCAGTGAGGCACATACCCTCTCTCACATTCAGACTATGCAGGCTTGTACACACACACACACACACACACACACACACACACCACACCCTGTAATGCATATTGGTCCCATCTGCTCAGATGCAGATATCTTCCCCTGGGAACTCCTGTGGCACATACGCCCATGTTTAGACCTGCACATGTGTGCCCAGTGACTGGACCTGGTACACTGCATGAAGTCCTGCATGAAGTTTGCTATTCCTAGAGGAATCCCTTCCTAAGCCTGGAGCCCCCTTATCCCAGAGGAAAGCCTCCAGCTCCCGCTCCTACCTGAGAGCAGCAGGGAAAGACACAGAGCAGGACAGAGCTGTGGAGCCAGACCTGGTCTCAGGGGCTGTATATATGGGGCAGCAGGGCACCCCCACCCCCACCTGCACCCAGTCCCTAGCCGGATTTAGAAAGGGCTGTTGTCACTAGAAGCATTTCCCCCAGGCTCCCCCCCTTCCCAAACAGTGCTCCCCTCCCCCCGCTCCAGCTAGGAAACAATTGGAAGTGGTCGTCATTGTTATGGCATGGAGTGTGCAGGGTCTGAGTTCCAGGGGGCGGGGTGGCTCAAAGTGCAGCAAAAATATCTCCCAGGCCAGGCCTCACATTCCACAGCTGGCAGGAGAGGGAACTGACCACGACCACCAAGACCAAGGCAGCCAGGGTCCTGGCTCTCCCGCAGGGCACTTCTGGCCCTGGACACTGCTGCCCCTCCAGTCTCCTGCCCTGAGGCCCCTGCTGGCCTGGCCCCATTTCCACAGTGTCCTCCCTGCTCTCCTGGCCCAGGTCCTGTATCCAACTGTAAGCTGGGAAGGGGCTAAGTGTCAGCAGCAGAGAGGGGTAGGACAGAGTTGGGGGCATGGCCCCAGGGTGAGGCTAGACTGGGGCAGCTGGAAGGACGTTTCCTAGCCAGGTGGCAAGAACAATAACCATGGAGCTTAGAGATGGGGACTCTGGCTCAGGCACTGATTTCCTTGGACCAGCAGGCGATGTGTTGAGGTCACCAAGCCTCTGAGCCAGACAGGCCTTTAGCAAGCCGTCCAAGCACTTCATTTTATGGAGAGGGACACTGCATTCTTTAAAGTTATACAGCTAATCGGGGCAGCAGGATTCAAGGTGGGAAACCTCAGCAGATGGGAGTGGAGCCGGGCCTGCGGAGGGTAGCCTGGAAAGGAGGGCTGGGATTCCAAAGGTGTGGGGACCACCTATGCGCAGAGGGCAGGACCCAGCTGCAATGGTCCTAGTTTGGAGCCCTTTGCCTGACTCACGTTCCTGGCTCTGCCCCACAGGTACTAAAGGCCTGAGCCCAGAGACAGACACTCTCAAAGCTCTAGATAATATAGCTGCTTGGAGCTGGAAGGAGACCCCTAAGACAGCTGTTGTCTGGCCCACCCAGCCTCAGGTGGGATGACCTTTGTCCAGAGCTAGAGGCAACTAGTGTTCAGGCAAGTGAGGCAGAGCGACAGGACAGGAAAAATCTTCCCCTCTTCAGGCCTGAGGAACAGCCACAAACGAGGGGAAGAAAGGGAGCTGGGGCCCAGCCTATGAGCACAGAACACAGCCAATGCCATGCTCTTCTAGCAACGGGGTGTGCAAGCTTGACTGGCTCCGTGTCTAGGCAACCACTGCAGGGTTTGGTGTGAAATCTCCCCCTTCTTCCGAGCACAGCTCTTCGGCGCATGCGGATTAATCCATCTGATTAGCTGTCAGCTTGGAAGGAGAGAGGCAGGCCTGGGGGATGGGTGCAGCAGGTACATTTTGAAGGTGGGGTGGGCATAGCAGGGAAGGGAAAATCCAGGAAGAGGCCTCTGTGGGGGTTGCTTGGTAATCAAGGCACTAAGGTACAGTCTGAGGACACTGAGCAGCTGTAAGGGGGGTGTGCAGGCAAGTGGGGGTAGACCATGAACTGCAAGGGCTGTGACTGACACCACTGCAGCTCTGCAGTGCTAAGGTATACAGTTGCTGAGGTGATCCCAGTAGGCTCTGCTACTAACATGCCCGGCAGAATAGACTCTGGCAGTGCCCTCCAGGCCCTGCCAGGCGCTGAGGAATCAGCCTTATTGACAGAGACAGACCCTCTTGGAGCTATAGATAATACAGCTGCTTGGAGCTGGAAGACAACCCCTAAGACAGCTTTGTCTGAGGTTCCCTGTAGGAACCTTAAGGATTGGCGATGAGGGGCAAAAACTCCTTTCGTCCCCACCTTCCTGCTTTCCAAGCTCCAAACTGCCACCCCTCCCTGATTTCCCAGGGCTCAGGCATAGATGCCGACAATTAAGATGCACAAAAGGTGCTTGGGATGTAGTTGAGCCATTTCAAAGCCAGTGTCTTCACCATGGGCCAGCCTCCTTCCTTGGCTGGGGACTTGGGAAGTCTTTCCCGCATTTGAGAAATCAATCACACTTTGTTTCCCTCCCTTCGGGTTTGGGAGGCTCTGGTCTATTGGTGTTTGGGTGTTACTGTTCTCTACCCCTGCCCCGCCTCATTGCAGAATAGAACTCACCTCCCTAACTAGGCTCTGCCTCACAGCTCAGACAGATCAGAGGGCTTGCTGTCCTTAAAGATCTCCACTCACTCCCTAGCCCCTCCAGCGCCTGCTCTTGGCTACATCATGATTCTCTTCCTGCTGCTTGCTGCTGTCTGAAGACTGAGCAGCTTTGTAGATTCCTCTGTTCAACAAGTATTTATTGAGTGCCTATTATGTGCCAGGCATTATTCTGGTCAATAAGGACATAACAATGACCAAAAGAAAGATCCCTCCTCTGGACTGCTCTGGTCAGCTCTTTGTAGAAATGAAATCCAGGCCTACGCTTTGCACACATGCACATTCCTTGTGGGGAGGGTGAGGGGCCAGGGGCCCCACCATGCCGGGGGTAGGTGGGGATTGTGCAGAGTGTGCTACAAAATGATAGCAAGATAAGGGAGAGCAAAGCAAAATGCTATAAATAAAGAGAGACTGGAGGGAGGGCCGCTTCAGCAAGGTAGACCAAATAAGGCCTGAAGTGAAAGGAAGGTGATCTGTCCCTCTGTCCTCCCCTCCCCGCATTGTGCCGGCTTTGTCTGCACTCTGTCACCACCCCGATCAAGTGTCAAGCCAAAACAGGGGCCATTTGCTGTGAACATGCCAGCGGTAGTTGAGAGGAAAAGTTGCTAAAATTACTCCCAGTAATTGTGAGGGAGGGAGACACCAGGGTGAATTAGAAGCGATGTCGGCATGGAGAGAGGGGAATCAGAAAGAAGCCCCGGTACCCAAAGGGAAGGAAGAAACGGGGCAGGAAGAGGCAGGTCACGTGGCACAGGGGAGGAATGAGGTACTCGTTGTTTGTGCACAGGGCAGAGGGGAGCCACCCAGGAGTGGAGGCTGACTCTCCCATCCGCCTGCCCCCAGAATCCCTGACCTTGGGGGCCCCTGCCCTGGCTCCACACGAGCCTAGGATTAGGGAGCTGAGCTTTCTGCCTGTCTCAGGTTTCCCTTTACAAACAGCTGCTCCTTCTTGTCATTCTTTTGTCTTCCTGCTGGCTTCAAAATCTTTTGTACTTGTGCACCCCTCCCGTTCCCTACTCCAGGCCTCTGCTCTCCGATGGATGTGAACAGTGAGAGAGACGGAGGGCCAGGGACAGGCTTGGGGCTGGCCTAGTTCAGTTTGGGGTAGTTAGGGCAGGTTGATCTTGCATTCAGGGAGTATTTGGAGGGACACGATTCACCAAAAGGGAGACTTTGTGGAGAGTGGTCGGTCTGGAGGGCCAGAGGCCTCAGAAGCATACAGGATGAGCAGCCTGGTGAGCTTTGGAGTCAGTCACAAAAATCCACTTTGAAACCCAGTGATTCCATTTTCTAGCTGTGTGGTCTACGTCAGTCATATAATCGCTTTGAGCCAGTTTTGTCATCTATAACATGGGGATAGTCACATTGTGTTTCCAGGGCTACTCAGGCCATTAGAGATTGCACAAATAAAGA